AAGAGTGCCTCCTACTGGTCCACCAACGCCACACCAGTACTGACTATGCCCTGCTCTTCCTTAGCTTCTGAGATTAGGCCACAAGGTGACAACACTGCTTCCAGTTTTATGTTTATCTGGTTATCGTCTTACATGGATTAAAGGAGAAGCTAGGGTCTAAAGCATAGTGTGTGGTCTTTATTGTACAGAATGAGAGGGGAATGCCACAGCTCAAATGGAAGCAAAACAGCAGACTGCTGAAATATGTGAAGCTGTGGCTCAGAACAGACTGATTGATCCCCAGCAGCATCACCAAGCTTCTGTAAATGTGTTTTCATGAGTGGTGGAAGCGAAATGATTTGCTGGGGGGGAGAGGCTGTCGGAAATCAGCATCCAAAAATTATTAAATCTAACTTTGAGGTTGAGAACCTGTTGAGATTGAATTTACAATGAGAAAGAAAGTATATAAGGAAATCTATCTTAAATTGATTGTGTTGATCGAATATTGTCAAAGAAAATTTTTTGCAAATGGAAGTATCATGTCAAGATGAAGTGATTGTTATTTAGAAATGTCTTTTTTCGTAACAAATGTAAAGTGTACACAGCGTTATGATGATGGTGGATTCGGAGGCAGATGGTTATGCAGTTTGAAGGTACTGTATGTCAGGTGTATGTCAAGGCTCAGTCCATCTGCTCAGGACCATTCTGAAAGGAGAACACAAGGACAGCCTCTCGGGGGAAAAGGCTGGAATTACAGTTTACAAGTCTGGAACTGATTTTCTCCTTCCACTTTAGTCTTTTGGTTACATCAAGAAAGCTGAAGTTTGTCTCAAGATGTTTCTATTGTAACACACATTTTATTTGTAGTTTCATTAGTAAATACAGTTCTTCTAGGGTTTTTAAATAGGGTATTTCATAATTCAGCTGTGGATCATGATCATGAACACTTTTTTTTTCAGTGTTCTATTTTTTACATTTCTCAGGCCAAAGTACACATAAACACTTTGTGGAACATACCCTTTTGTAAATGGAGACATTTTATATCTAATTTAATTATAATATATGTAATTGTTTCTTGCTTGGAACAATGTTATTGTCAAGTGAAACAGCGGTCAGCACAATTTCAGTATAAAACCTAATGCCTCATCTTCTGTTCTAGAATTTACAGATTAGGTATCTTCAATGTTTTTAATATGTATTTCAACACTTTGTGTGTTGGTGTCCATACGTACAGTATAATGGTGAAAAATCTGAATCATTTTAATTCTTTTACAGAATTAAAAGACCAATGGAATGTAATGCATTCGCAGTGGCCTCTTCTGCCTCATGTAATCTTCACCGCAGTCTTGTTTTCTTCGATCTCGAAACCACTGGACTTGGTAATTATATATTACATTTATATAGTATCTTTCTTCAGATAATTAAGTTTAAATCTATTGTAAACCCCTCACTGTGGAAAAGTATTCCTGTTGCAGATGTTTTAGCTGAGGTCAGTATGTGTCGTACTGCCAGTTTACAAACTGACAAGGATGTTGATGTACAGCATACTGTATAGTTATTTCTAGTTGTTTATAATCCCCTTTTCATGTATGGGGAAGAGGGGAGTAGACTAACAATACGATTTATTTACAATGATTCTTCTGTGCATTTTCAGCAAGTTTGAGCTTTATTTTCTCTCTGACATTGTTTTCCATGAGTGGGGGGTAAAGGACTGATTGCAGATTGTGACACTACTTTTTGACTGCAGTCTTGGAGAACGGAGCAGTAACAACACATCAATTGTGCCTTTGCAAACAGGTCCAAGGTGTGATATCGTACAGTTGTCCGCTGTAAGTGGAGACCACACGTTTAATGTCTACATGGTTCCTCGGCGACCAATCCTTAGAGGGGCCTCAGTTGTCACCGGGTTCACTGTCAGGAGGCGACAGCTGTGGCTCCACAGTCAGGCCCTTCCAACCATCACTCACTGGGAGGCTTTGATATCCTTCGTGGCCTTCCTCCGCATGCTGAACCGCCCTTTTCTGGCAGGGCACAACATCAGGAGGTTTGACTGTCCTGTACTGCTCAAGGTGCTGGATGAGTTCCACCTGAGAGAGGACTTCCAGCAGGCCACCTCCGGCTTCGTGGACACCCTCCTCCTGGCCCGAGAGCTGTTCAGGCACAGCTCCATCCGGAGCTATCGCCAGGAGCACCTGGTGAGGGCCTGCCTCGGGACCTCCTACCAAGCGCACAATGCTCTGGAAGACGTCAAGGCTCTGCAGCGGCTCTTCCGCGCCTGGGCGCCCAGGTCAGAGCAGGTGGTCAGGCACACCTTCACTCTCTCACAGGTGGGAACTCGGAACTCTCGGTGGCCACTCATCTAAGGAAAAGTGATCTCCAAGCACGCTGCAAGAAAACTGGCTGCATGTGGAATTACTCTAGAAGTCTCACCTGCAGAGTCCCTCTAAGAGGCTCCAGAAGCTACTGGAGCCCCTGAAATAAGAGCTGTGGGAGGGCTGCTTTGGAGCCACAATTGGCAATATCACTGACTTCCTGGAACTTCAAAAGCAGCCTTAACCCAGCAGAGCTGTCTCTGAAACACGTGGTTTCTTCAGTGTGAGTTGAGCCTCAGAGACTTGGTTCACAGGAATCTTGAGGCAAATAAAATTAACATTTGCGTTTATTAAATTAAAACCACTGAGAAGGAAAGACCTTTTGCTTCTCTACATACCAATGTTTAAGTTAACAGAATGGGCGTTTTGCTAGAGGCTGTTTTATTTCCACAGCAGTGTGATTTCTTGGACTTCAGAATCAAATGTGCCAAGTTCTAATAATTATGATCAAGGCAGAAAGAAAATTTATAAAAGACACTGCCTGTTTAGGAAAAGCATCTGTTATCTTTCATTTTATTGTTTTATTAAATATAAATAAAGTAATGTATTTTTTCAGGTCCACGTGATCTCTAAGGATTTAATAAAGTGTCATAATCTTTTGGTTTTTATTAGTTGTTTTAATTGGGTGTGTTTAATATTATGACGAGACAAAGGCAATATAATTTTACATGTAAAAAAAAATTGCATTGTGGCCATTCACATATTCTTCTATGTTAAACACCTATAAAATACAAGCGGAGCGGAGGCTCTGTGGCTCAGGATCTGCGCCTGTGGCTGGAAGGTTACTGGTTCAAATCCCGCAGCCGACAGAGGAATCCTACTCCGTTGGGCCCCTGAGCAAGGCCCTTAACCCCCATTGCTCCAGGGGCGCTGTATAAATGGCTGACCCTGCGCTCTGAGTCCAAGCCTCTCTCTCCTTCTGTGTGCTGTGTCTCAAGGAGAGCAAGCTGGGTTATGCAAAAAGGCAAATTCCTAATGCAAGAAATTGTATATGGCTAATAAAGTGATCTTAATCTTAAATATTTCAAATTAGATTTCAAAATTTTGCTTTAGATCTGCTAAGCTAAGCAAATCGTTTCATAATAATGGCCAGTAGGGGGTGTTAACAGGCAAAATTATAGACATCGAGGAAGGAACCCCGTTTCTCCGCTGGAAAATGAGACTTGTTTGGAGAATAAGGATCCGTGCGTACTGTATGTTTGAAAACAATAATTCATACAACACAATACATTCTGAAGTATTGTTCTTTTAATCACAGCTGCAATCAGGTTTATATATGGCTTACAGTATGTTTGGCACATCTCATCGTCCGATTGCATTTAATTTCATGCACAGTACCCTTTCGTCAGACTAGAAGTGAAAGGGAGGTTAGCGGTACAGGCTGTTCATTTCCATTTCTGCTTCGCCACCTCCGTTTTCGTTTTCCTGCGCAGCTTTTAACCCTTTCCAGGGTGTGGTCTTTCACCACCACCATAAATCCTGAAACGGTCAATACAGCTGATATACTATTAATGCACAGAAAAACGCATAAAAGCTTTGTAACAAACACAAGGTAGCACCCGGCAGTAATGTGGCTGAAGGCAATCGGGGTTTTTAACAAGCATAATCTGAACGATCGATAATTATTGATTCATTTACCATTCTTATAAATTTATATCGTTTTGATATCTGTAAAATAATAAAACTGTCAAATATACTGTACTCTTCAATTAAATTTTAAATACAGCCGAAGTGTGAGACTTGAGTGGTCACAAAGGCAAGATTAGTATAAAAAGCAGTTCAGGATCTTGCTTGTTTTTGTCCATACTGTACCTCTGGGTTAGATTTTGGTCTTGTTGTGTAGAGATTAACGGTTATTTTTCTTTGTTCTCGTTTTTCTTTCATTGTAAAAGTGGTATGTCGTACTGCTAAGCAGTGATACGAACCGTGATATTCTGTAATAGAGGGAGGTAAATCCGGTATGTATTTTTTATACAAAGAATTGGCTCTTATTTTGAAAAAGCTTATAGACGCCTGCTACGGTGATGTCACTCCGCAGCAACTGGAATATGGAGGTGAAGAGACCACAGTGGACATCTTAACCCACCGATTTTATCCAGTAGGTATTTTTTTCTCCACTTTTTCCAATTTTAAATACTATACTAGTTAACCTGGTGCAGCCTATGCTAAAGTTGTTCATATGCAAACCTGTGTATTATATGAATTTTGAACGTTCTCTGTAGTACAAACAAAACCAGGTCTGCAAAACAGTACTTTAAAAGTGAAATTTGGTGTTCACGGACCTTAGATGGAGCTGCCTTTGAATTTCCATAGAGGAAAATTAACTTTGCATTGATATGTCCTTAATTTGAGATCTACCCAATGCCAAGTGAGTGTTTTGTCCACATCATTTTACCAAATATTCCTCATTGATAAGGTATAAAGTGTTGATTCCACAACATGAATTGTGGCAAAATAATTTTGAAAGAGCATTGAATATCAATTAGCAACACTGAATAGATATGGAATGTATGCCATATTCACAAATGGAAATAGGCACTTTTGACTCAGCACTGCATGGGTAGGGTGGATGTTACAGTTGGCCAAGGTTTTCTCAGCTTTTAGGAAGACAGTTTTCTGCAGCATATAGGATACCTTCAGACCTGGTGTGATGTCAGTGAGTGTTGCACTGCTCTGGCAATCTTTCTCTCCTGTCCAGCGCTCACATGTCAAACAGATGAAGTGCTGTAACAAGGGGCACGTCAGAGAATCCTGACTGCAGGGCCTCTTTCTCTGTGCCATACAGCAGACGTTGCCAAAAAATCAGGTCTTAAACAACAGGTGGTTTCAAACCGGGCACATGCATGACAAATATAATGGGCAGTTCCAATTTTTATATCTATAAAGTTAAGTCAACATCAGGAAGCAACACAGTGTAGATACTGAAAAAAATGTTAAGTACAAACTGAATCGGTCGAACTGTGATGTCGGAACAACGTTGCTTTTCCTGCTTGCAAATCCAACACACATTTTCGAACGGAATTGGAAAAGTGTTCTTGTGCCTTCCCTAATACACTCTGATGCAACTGGGTTATTTCTGGATTCTCCATCTTTTAACAGGACAATGGCTAATCAGGCAGGCACCCTATTACATGGAGAACAGTTCCTGCTGTGTGGAATCTGTACCAGGAACATCTCCTCTCCCAAGCTGTTGTCCTGTCTTCACACCTTTTGCGAGGAGTGTCTAACAAGGTCTGAGAAGTCTGATTCTGTCACCTGCCCTACCTGCCAGAAAGCCACAGAACTCCCCAAGGTGAAGAACAATGTGCTCTTCTCGGAGCTGAAGGCCAGGGTTGATACCTACAGACAGATTGTCCAAGCCAGCGTGCTTCCATGCTCTAGGTGCAGAGCTGGGGCAAGCTTCCTGTGCTTCGAGTGTGAGAAAATGCTGTGCCAGAGCTGTTTTGATGCCCATCAGATTTTCACAGAGAAGGAAGGACACCCAGTGGACAGCGTGGAGAACCTGAGGAGGATGGACTTCCCAGACTTCCTGGAAGCCACCCGCAAGAAGAGGCTCCCTTACTGTCCCAGCCACGAGAAGCAGATGATTAGGTTAGATCCGCTCCGACTTTTGGACTGGAATACAGCGTTGTGCCTTGGTGTTCCAATTTTAGACCTCTTGAGTTTGGTTCTAAAGATGTTCATAAGAAGCAGTCCACTATCGTGTTTCTAATCAGTCAGATATTACACTTGATGCGTAACAATTGTAACTGTAAACTAGAACCCTGTATCTTTTGGAGTAAGGGTTGGATAACAGAAGTTTGTGAGTGGTGATCTGGTTTCCTTTAACTTGAAGATTTACAGGATACAGGTTTTGTCTGTATTGTAGGTTTATTTTATTAACATCACTGTTAAATTATTTCCTACTTGAAACTTGTTTTCCACAAATTCAAGGTAATTTGACCAAAATCCCAGTTTTAATTCATGTTAATTTGATTTTCAGTAAGAGGGCACATTTCTGATTTTCTTATCTGTGTGAATGAACTACAGTACAGTATATTACTGCCTGAATATCTGTTTTTAAAGAACCATGTGTTATCAGACCTGTTCTCTATTAATATGCCAAGGAAAAGCCTTTTGAGAGGTGTGAAAATAAGCTTGATACGGCAAATAACTCCCACATCGCCAGATACATGTGAAAATGGTTCCTTGCTCTCTCACCCTGTCTGCACCTTCTCAATTCCCACAGCATCTTCTGCAGGACGTGTTCCAAGTCTGTGTGCTGCACCTGCACCATCCTGGAGCACAAGCCTCCAGCCCATGAGCACTGTGACATGAAAGAAGAGGTGCAGCTGCAGAAACAGGATCTCAAAAAAATGTCTGCTGCCCTGTTGGAGAAGCGGGAGGCCTTCGCCAAAGCCTGCCAGGAACTGTGGACTCTGCGGGACTCGAACCGGGCCCACAAAGCAGAGCTAGAGGACGCGATCAAAGAGGCGGTGAGGGAGACGGTGCAGGTAGTCACGGAGAAGGGGGATGCACTCCTGGGCGAGCTGGAGGGCATGTATGCGAACAAGGACGCCGAGATCAAGGGCCAGCTCTGCGAGACGGAGAATGTCCTCAAGAGGGTAGATGCTGCCTGTGACCTGATCGAGAAAATCGAGTGCTACGGCGCCGACAAAGACGTTTTGGAGATGCAGGGGATGGTGAGATCCTCCCTGCAGGAGCTCCAGCGAGAGGACAGGGTACACGTCGAGCCGCAGGCCTTGAAAGTCACCTTCACCAAATCCCATGTGGAATCTCGCGCCTGCGTCGGCAGCCTGGCAGTTTGGAAAAGTGAGTAAATTAAGTGCTGTGCCTCCCTTGTCGTTAAACCTGCCTGCTCCACGTGACCTTGCTTGTCTTTCCACTCGTTTTCCACATTTTGCAGGGAAGCAGCTGGAAACAAAACAAAGGTTTTTGAAGTGGAACCTGAATGGGTCGTGCGCTAAATGCTTCCAACTTGTTTCTTGCTTCTGTAGGCTGGATGTTCTCAAACTACGCTGACTGTTGCTAGGGGCTTGCATTGGTGTCTAACAGCCCACATTGTGCTGGGAGCTTGTTTAACTGCTTCCAAGTGGCCCCTTCGAGTATCCAAGCCCCCGTTGGACTGACCATGGTTGTCTTTTGAAAACTTCTGAAAATTAAGTAACTTGTTGTGTTTGTAGTTTTTGTTGTGTTGTTTGACCACCTGACATTCAACCCAGCTGTGTTCTATTTTTCTGTAGACAGTGTTGAAAGAAGAGAAATGGCACTGTCTTCTGAGGTAAGATAATCAAATTTGGTAAGGAAAGACTTTTTTAAATTTGGTAATGGAAGAATATTCATAGTTCTGCTCTGCTCTGTTTGTTTCTTGTCAAAAGCAATATCAAGGTAACACATGCAGCACCAAAATTATTAGAGACAACTCCTTTGGTAAAAAAAATTGGGCTGGGCACTTTTAACACAGTTTGCATAATTTATTATGTCAATCCTGCCATGTGTTTTTGTATTGTGAATGCAGGCTTCTGGGGTTGTCAGTGTGAAAAGAGCAAGGGAGGATGACCAGGAAACAGAGTGGATTGACAAGCACAGGAACCAATCTGACTCGTACCATGATCTGCAACCCCAGCCCAAACGCCACACCTCGCCAGATCTCTACCAGTCTGAGGCCAGCATGGGGTCATACCCAGGAACTGACAGCCCACGGTCCACCTCACAGTCTCCTGTGCAGGAAATAGAGTCAATGGGTAGGATGAGCCTTAATTTCTGGATACCGTCACAAAATATTCTGCATTGCAGCATTTTGATCTGCAACTTTGCATATTTTTACAGGTACTTCACAAACAGATTCGTGGGTAATATCTTCCAGTGAATCTGAAGATGAATCTCCATCAGTAAGGACAATCACGGAGTCATCAATATTCATTTCAGAAATAATTTCAGCTCCCAATGTAATATCAGTTGTTGCAACCTCGATAAATTGCCTGTCTTATTATGGGTTTCACATTCCCTACGGAAAAGACTTTGAAGATAGACTTTCAAATAAAGTTAAAGTAGGAATGGTCATTTCCAATCCTAAAGAGTGTGGCCTTTTGGCTTTTCTTTCACTTCTGGTACTTAATACTTAATGGAACTAACTGTTTGAATACAAAAATCAAATCTCTCTATTGGCTGCTAAATAAGCATTACCTGCACCTGTTCCAAAGCAGTTGTCTGTTCAGAATGGTAGATGACAATGGCAGTAGAAAATGCAACAACACACTTTTGTAGGATAAGCATGTTTTGTAGTGAGGGCCTAAAGATGGAATAAGCTAGAAAAAGTTGGGGTGTCTCAAGAAACTTGTAAATTAATTTATCTTCTGGCTGTGTTTATAGGGTGCAGGTGGCCGGAATCATAACAACCAAATTGTATCCCAGTTGCAAATCAGCAGCGAGATCCAATCTAAAGTTGCCACACAAGACTGGGCAACAGGCACTATCGTGTTCTTTGATTTGGAGACCACAGGATTGGGTATTTATTGTCACATTCAGAAATTTGAATTTCTTCTCAATCTTTTTTTATTCTTGTTCTTTCCACTCCATTTTTTGCCTACATGTAAAGAACAATGTTTTTATTTCACACGTATACAATCCTTCTAGTTTTAAAAACCTTTTTTTTTATTTGTCCACAAATTTTCTTTAGTAATGCAGCTTTTGGAAAAATGTCTTTGTTAGGAAATGTCACATAAATCAGTGTTAGTATTACAATGCTTTTTTGCCTGATCATTTTATGTATCTTAAATATGTGTATTTAATTCAGATTTATACATTACGATAAGGCTGATGCATACTGTATGCTAACCTATACATGCTGATGAGATCTGAGTTTACAAATATATAATTCCACCTTTGATTGTCTTCCAGATCTCTCTTCCAACATTATCCAGCTCTCTGCTGTTTGTGGCGAGTTGACCTTTAACACTTACATCCTTCCAGTCCAGCCAATCACACAGGGAGCATCAGCTGTCAACGGGCTGACGATGGAGGATGGAGTGCTGCTTCTGCACTCAGAGCCAGTGGAAACTACCTCCATTGGAGAGGCCTTGACTGCCTTCCTCAACTTCCTTCGCTGTCTGAGCGAACCCTTGCTTGTAGGCCACAACATCTGGAGGTTCGACTGTCCCATTTTGATTCGCGTCCTTAAAAAAGTAGGCCTCAGGGATGAATTGGAGAATTCGGTCTCAGGGTTCCTGGACACACTTCCCCTGGCCAAAGATATACTGAAGAATGTCGAAATCAGGAACTTCTCCCTGCAGAACCTGGTCAAGTGTATCCTCATGGAGTCCTACCTTGCACACAATGCTCTTGAAGATGCCTTAGTTTTGCAAAGGCTCTACAACGCCATGATCCCCACACCAGAGCAAACACGCAGTCACTCCTTCTCTCTTCTGCAGGTGGAGACCTACGACTCCTTACAGCCCCTTATTGCTGAGAAGGCACTTACTAAACCTGCTGCTCAAAAGCTAGCTAAGGGGGAGGTGAGCTTCGATATGCTGAGAAAAGCTTACCAACAGGACCCCAAAAATGGACTAAACATCTTTCTCCTGCCCTGGAGAAAAGAGTTAGGGCTGACCATGTTTGCAGGCACGATTAAAAGGTTGAAAACCTTCTTCAGCAACATGGAAGAGTGAAGATTTTGTTCCTGTTAGGGAAACAAGCAGGAAGTGGAATTTATGTATTTCACAAGAAAGTCATATGTTCGAGAGATGTTGTTTGAGAAGTCATGCAACCAAAACCTGAAATGCAACAGAAATGCATTTTTTTTTCTGATTTTGTAAATATCATTCATTGTTTATACACATAAGTACATTAGTGATCCATCCATTATAGTTGGATAAAAAGGAACCCTAGCTCTGCCTTTGAAATATAGGTACAGCAATTGATTTCAAAAGCTGGAACTGTAGAAGGGGCTAAAGCAATCTAGCCAATACAAAGGTATCAACTTAAGAAACCGAAAATGTAGACAATATACTGAGAATCAAAAGAAACTCAGCACTTATAACTGCAAAAAGAATTCACAGCATGAATGCCAATATCAAGTCCACTAGTGTAGCAGATACACTGATATTTTATTGAAGATGACATACTGTAGGTGAATTCAGTATGGAGATTAATCATCAGCAGGGTTGACGTACAGGCAGTATAAGCTGTACAAGGAGTATAAGCTGTGACACATGCATTGTCGCATGGAGCAGATGTTGTTTTGCATGATTCTTCCCCTTTCTGCTTTTACGGACTGGACAAGCATGTGAATGTTCATCACGCCACACATGATCAAGTCCCACAATCCCAGAAATGTTCAGTATGCTCAGTAGGTCCTCCATGACATTGCTGTCACCCTCGCAACTCACAAAAAAGCTGAGCTGCACTAGTAGGTGCGATGTCCTCTGAAATTGTAATGTGAGGATGTAAGCCCACAGAAAATGACACGAATCACTGCCAGTGGAGTGCTTTAGTGACTGGATGCTTCTTCCTATTGGTTTCCCTGCTGATGTGTCTACCTGCTCATACCAGTCCGTTCTGCTCCAGTGATGAACATCGGTCAGTGAGCAGTGGGCCCCAGCGTGGTTGCCTGTCTCGAGGACTGTGATTGTTGAGCTGCCTCCTCACGTCTGATGAGCAGGTAGTTGTAACCTGAACTTTATGAGGCCGTGGGCCTGCCAGTGCAAGGACGGTCCCCAAGATGAACCATGATAATGTGTGAGTCTTGTCTAGGTTCTGTGGCCCGAGTTCTCCCTGATCATGAGCTTACAGTTAATGGAGAGTATTTGTAATGTCTTTCCAGGTTAGAAATCAGTCAGTGTGCCGACTTTGCCCAGCCTCCAGAATACCAACGGTACAACGTCTTTGTTCTCTTGATCACCGAGTTATATTTGTCCCTTTTGCATTTTTCTTTCTTGACCCATCAGACGTGACCTTCAGCAGGTTGGATCACTTTACCACCTGTCCTCGATCAGCTCTGTCCCTAATGTGGCTATTCGGTGCTTGATTGCAACAGTCTTATTCGCTGCCTGTCATGAATACATCAAATAATCGTAACAATTTATTATTATAATAACATGCATAAGTAAAATGAAACATTTCTTTTGATTCTCAGTATAGATTTAGAACAATCCTGATATTCAGTGTTGTTTGAAGTTCAAGGTTGACGCATGACATTTGCACATCGGTGTCCAGATGATTCAAAGATGCAGTACTCATGGAGGTGAAAGTAAAAAGTGTGCTATACAAACATGTGAAAAAATTATATTTCCTTATCATGAAATGATAAGTAAAGGTAAGAAAGAGGTACTGTATGTTTTAATAAGTATTTTAAAGAACCATGTTGTAGAGACTGTTGTTCCATGATCCCTCAAGAAATAGTCGGATGTACAGTATTACCTGAGGAAAATTGCAATATGAAGAAAATTTGGCATAGTAGTCTTTTCTCATTTGCTATCTTTAATGAGGTATGGTAAAAGTACTTTTAAGTTTGTGAATTATTTGAATTAGCAAGAGATTTCAACTGTGAAATGCATTATTATTATAATACTATTATTAGTATTCAAGTATTAAATACTAACTATACTAACTCTTTTTAGTGTTGTATAGTTATGGTTAACAGTTAACTGGCATCACAGCACGAAAGAAGGTAGTGGAGTTGTCTTTTTGTTATGTAGAGATAGTCTCATATGTGTACTGTATTTGAAGTTGTACCTGAAGGTCAAACTGACTTTCCCACTACCTTTGGCGAGACAGTTCTTGACAGCAGAGACCCCTGTGCAGAATGACGAAGGACTCATCAAGAAGACCGTGGACTGAATGGGAAAGTGACTGTGGCTTTTACTGTCTTTTACACGACTTGAACATAAATGTACTTTCAGAAAAGAGAGAAATATGAAAAAATGGAAAAGAGTTGTAATATGGGAACCATGGTTTTAAAAAGTCTCCCTACTCAGTGTTGTGTGATAAAAAAAAAAGTTATCAAGTCTTGTTTGAAACATCTAAAGAAACTCGTCGAGGGAACAGAGATATGACATTACAGACTTTAGCACAAGGAAATGACCTTTTACTGAGTATTCAATCAGATAGGGGGTCACACCTTTAAACAATATGGATTTTGAAGTTGTAATATACATAAAGCAACTTTGTTATACAGTATTTGTTTTTTATAAATACACCATTTAATTGTTTACATATAGTTGTTGCGGTACATATACAGTATACTGTATATTGAGTAAACATTACAGAGCAAATTCCATAATATGATTACAGCTGTATCGATTTGTATGGAAATATCTTCATGTTTTTAAAATTCTTATGTGCAATGTACTGCAAATTATTGTGATCTACTTTACCTCCATCAAAGCACGTGTGCCTTAATGCACATGGCAACCAGTTAAAAAAATTCACACTTGAAAAAAAATTTGCTCTTTTGTTAGTCAGATTATTTTGCTTATGGCTGTCGCAGAGCTGACTTATGTGGTCATTTACAATGGTGTGTTCCAAAAAGCTAACAGAATTCAAGGCCTTATAACTGTACACAGTCCTGTGACGTTCTTTACCAAAGTCACTGCGGCTGTGTCTTAAGCCTTATACATGTACACATGGCAATCTTCTGTGATGACATGCATGCGTTTATTGCCTTGGTGCTGAATAAACAAATTGCATTTTTTTAGAATTAGGTAGTAATGCTCATCGAAGGCCTTAAACAACTTGTGAAATAGTTGAAACTGGTTCCTGGCAAATTATATGTAAGGTGCTTTGTATTTTATTAGTAGTAGTGTTCCACCAGGGTTGCAAGCATTTTCTTGATCACGGGGAGGAAAGTTGCGCGTCTGGACCTTCGGCATTCTTAAGGAGCACAAACGCGGTGAGTTTATTTGTATTTGTTAAGTTACTTTCCTCTTAAATTGTTCATTTTTATAGTTAGAGTTTCACACTGTGTTTGTTCTGAATTCAAAAAAGGAATAACACCGTCTTACAAATATTTGTTTTCTACGTGGGGCAGCAGTTTTAGGTTAAGGTTCAAAATTGTGGTACGTTTTAACAGATATTTGGTCTGATGTGTGTGACATTAATCTTGGTGAAAGCAAAATAATTAACATTCATTCTCTTTTGACCTAAAATGACTAAGAAGTGGCTTTTTTATCATTCAAACTTAAGTTTAGGAATAAAAGAGAAGTGATGAAGTTGGCAGCCATGCAGGGTGTTACAGTATATTGTGTAGTGCCCTGTGTCAGCAGGGTTAGGCTCCTGCTCTCTGTGATACTCTGTAGTAATTTGTAGTTTTGGATAATGTATGAAGAAATGATAAAAGTATTTTAAATTCTTTACAAGTGACTTTAATTTTAGAGTGCTGTAAAAAAAACATTTTGCATGTTAGCATGTTATTTTTGAGTAATATTAATGCCAGCACTATATCCACAGATCATTCCTACATTTCTCAAGAATTTTGTGTACAATTAAATTTTCTCAGAGAGTAACAATCGACAACTTGTAATGAAGTATGGCATATCTCGCTTTCATGGTTTTTGTCCTTGTAAAAAAAAGTATAATTTAAGTGTAATACTATCACATAAATACCAGTGGTTAGTTATTTATATTATAAGAAATTCCCTTTTAATCAAAGTTTTATGAAATTATTAACCTATATATAACCTATATGTAGTATATTTAGTAAACATTATGGAGCAAATTCCATAATATGTGACATATTTCAATGGGCATCAGCCATTATGCATATAAACCTCTGTAATCTAGAGTCTCGTTTTGCAGGGAAAATCAGACTAGTCTTTGTCTCTTCTACCCAGCCTGCTCAGCGCACATTTGCAATGAAAGCACAGATCTGGAGCACAAGGGGCCAGAAGACGTTCGTACTGTAATAGCAACAAGGCCGAGGCCGAACAGCAGAGGGACTTTTACGCTGAAAGGTGTAAGAAACTGCTGGGGAGGGATAAAGCGCTCAATAACATCCACTAGGAGCTGAGTTCTCAGCAAGGCTTTCAAATGCTGATGAAGAAACAGATGGAACTGCATATGGAAGCAGCAGTGATGGAAACAGGGGATCATGCTTTCATACTTTAGCCTCACTTACTTACATAGTAATGAGCCTTTGGAGTTGCCCACTTTGTTTTTATGCACATGTTTGATGTAACTGTGTTTCATGTAGCTGAATAACATTTTGGTCTGAAGAACACAGCTCCCGTGTCTTAGTTCTCTTGTATGCAAGTTATCCTTCGGGTCCAGTCTGAATCATGACTAAAGGCCCGTGTAGTCTCCTCAATTTTTACTTCTTTAAAGGGTGCTTTTTTTAAAGGGTATTTAGTAAAAGCAAAAGGTCCAAGACCAGGAAAAGATTGAGAGACTCCTTTATCATTTCTTCCTAAACTTGGTAGGAGTTCAAACACCACCCTGAATACAACCCAGGGGAATAATATTTGTACTGAAAAACTAGATGAATCTTAAAGTTTCACTTATAGTTCATTGGTCCACTGGGACAGTAGAGGCTATCAGATTTAATACCAGACACCTCTTTCTTCTAATATTCTTTCTTTGTAAATGATCTGTATTATAATCCCTTTTTACGGATGCATTTACAGATGAGTTTCTACGATCTAGTGGCAAACCTGAAGATGAAACTTCCAGGGTAAGATCCGGAATGAACTGCAGGTCTTTGCGTTGGAAAGGATCTAAAGTGAAATATTTTTTTTTAATTTGTTTCCTGTTTCACAAAAAAGGTGAAAGGTGTTTAGCCGTGACTTGGCTCTTGTGAACATTGTTTGGCACTGTCATTATCTGTCAACCTGATTTCTACATTATCAGGGATTATTCATGTCTTTGTGAAGTGTAAACAGGGTGTCATTATGCCTTAGATCAATAGTCAGTCTGAGACTGCTGCCTCTGTCCTTTAGGTCTTTAAGCATCTTCCTAAAGCTACTTAAATGAAATTTGTGTTCACACTTCAATGAAGTGTTCCCAGTCTGTCAAAAAACAATTTGAAATAATTAACCAGACAATAAATAGATTAATAAATTATAATATAATACATATAAATAAAATATTATTGTATTATAACTACAAATATTAAGAGTTGATTTTGTTTCCATATATGTGGATATACAGTGTATGTATATTGACTGTCTGACCATATTATGATAAATCTGCCCTTATAGGTTAGGGCTTGGGTTTACAAAATGTGATGTTCATTCCACAAAACAGTTAAGTCAACAACACTCAGTAGCTAGATTTGTGTGTAGCAGGTCAAGCTGCACACCATTAAGAGCTGGTGATATCTAAGAAACCTATTTTACTTTGATGTATTCTGTCTGTTGCAAACGTAAGAGAGATTTCTATAATGCCCTGTTCTCAGCGAGCAGTGTTGTTGAGACCTGGGCCATTAACCTTTTATCCCCCATGTACCTGTGAGCAACTCCTTTCTGAGGTGTTCCATTGTGAGCTGTTCCGTCGGTTGCATTTTGGCATGGTCATATTCAGTGGATAAAAACATGAACAGTGACAAAAGTGGAAAGTGTCTTAAAAAAAAAGTATCCTTTGGCTTCTACACCAAAACCAGTTAGCAAAAACAAAAGAACTGATCGGTGGTCTGCCTGTCTCCCATACAGATGTCTCATGTGACCTTGCCCAGCTGACCGCAGTTCGTAAAGAGGCGGCCCCTCACACCCGCAGCCTGCTGTTCCAGTCAGTCACAGAATAAGCTTCGCCAACACGCGGACTGACCACGCGGACAAGAACATTGCTGTGGTGCTCCAAACCAGTGGAGTCCGAGACCATTGGGGAGACCCTGACTGACTTTCCCAGCTTCCTTCACTCTTCAGGCTAGCTGGTCCTTATTGACCACAATGCCCGGTGTCTCAGCTGCCCCAGTCTCCCCAGGTCCCTCCCAAGTATTGGTCCGAGGGAAGAATTTGAGCCTGTCATTTCTTGTTTCTTGGATACACATCCCTTAGCGAAGGTCACTCCTGCATTCTGCATTCAAGATCAGCACTCTGGAGAAGATTAATCTTAAGAAAAGCTGTCAATCACACAGAGCTCTTACAGGACCTTCTGGTTTGGAAAGCTCTTCAGTCATATGAACCCCACAAAAGAGTAGATGCCCTGACTTCTCTCATTTGTATAGTGGCCAGTCTTTGCATGTATCCTCAGAGGAGAAACACGTGTCCGAGACAGCAGCTCAGAGGCTGAGTGAACATGGGACTACCTCTGAGCCTCTAAAGGAGCATTACTGAATGACTGTAACCAAGGCTAAAATATGTTCTAGGGAGTAGGTTAAAAATTAAAACAGTTTTTCCCTGGAAAGGTACAAGCTGGAGCAACACTCGAAAAATTTAAAATATAAACTTTGACATTTTTTAGAAGCCCGTTTTTTTATAATTTTCATTGCAAAGCAACAATATTACAGTCTAGCTGAGAGGTCATTTTCAAGTGTAAGTTTAATTATAAATCTGTAGACAGAAAACTAGTAGGTGAAGTATTTTAAGGTCATTTATACATGTTTTCTTAAACTTGGAGTTTTGATATTCTTTATAATTCTTTGACTTATTGTTTCTGTTCAGTTCTCTCTGTCTGGCAGTCTTAGGAATACTGTGTGAGCAAACTGAGCTAATGGGGCCAGAAAGAAAGGCTTTATGACCAAAAGGGGTTTATTTGCTTACAGTGTATTCAGTAGGTCATTGGTACAGAACATCAGTTCTATAGAGCCATGCTATCTGAAGACCTGACCTAATAGAACTACCTTAATATTGTCTGATTTTTTTTTATTACTAATAAAGAGGAGAGAACAAAGCACTGTTCATATTTATTGGGAGTTTTACACACAGATGCTGTCTTTACAAATGCATGCCATCGAATGCAATATCATTCCAAAAATCCATTCTTTCATTCTGTACCTGTGGCAAAACACAGCATTCCAAAAAAATAGGTATAAATAATTTATCAAACCTGAGTGCAATTCTACAAGACATAATGGTTTTATACATACAAATCAAAACCTAATTTGGGAGAAACAATCACAGATTCACCGTTTTACCCCACTGTTGTTGGACGGAACCATTCCCTAATGAGGGAATGATTGCATATCTCAGCAGTGCTGGTGTCCCCAGTTCTTACCTAGAAGCATAATCCAACACGGTTTTCTAGGTCTACTTCAATTATCAACATCTTAAGTAAAATTGAGTCAAAGTGCTAAACTAGTCAAATTAAAGTTGAGTGAGCCAACCTTATTCTCCATTGTTGTTCTAGGGTGACCTAAAGCACCTGAGGGACAGGAAAAGGGACAAACAACCAGGACACTTGCAGCAGTGCCATCATTAAATCAATTGTCTCCTCAATCATATTCCTTCAAATGGAAGAAATTCCTCACCTAGATATTCTTTAAAAAGGAATAAGATACAGCAAAACAGAAACTAAACAATAAATCTTAGCGAAATCCAGATGGTCCAGGTGATTAAGCTTAAAGCATCATACTTTATATCACCTGGCCTCCCCCCCCCCCATACAGCCTCAGAAAGAGGAGACCTCTGGTGTGCTTCACTGCCAGCCAACTCAGCCCAGGGGACACACGGCGCAGCAGTGCAGGAAGGATAGTGAGGTGGACGTACAACTTTTTAATGGCCATTCCGTTCTGTTATTCACCGCCTGTGCAACGCGAGCAGTTTGTTTTGCAAAAACATGAACATGTAATGAGTACATTCTTCCATGCAAAAACCTAGACGTTACCAGGCTTCTGCTGACTTCCATAAGAAATCAGGAGCTTACGAAATTCACCAAGAAACAAAGCAAACAATGCCATCAGACTTTTGGTAAGAAATATTTTGAGTACACCCTTTTCCTTGATTTCAGAAGGCAAATTTGCCAAACGAAAGGCAGACTCTCGCAATGCACGTCCTCAGCGTGCTTCTTTAAGTGTGAAGCTCACTCTGGAGAGCTTCATCTCTCTATCTGTAATTTTATGTGAGCATCCTCCTTATTTTGCTCATCATGCTTCAGTACTACCAGATCCGAAGAACTTTGCTAAACATGTTTTTTCAGGTTCTTTGTTGGCATGTTATTGACAGGCGTGGCTAGAAAATGTTACGCTGATGCCCACTCTTGTTGCACGTGTCACAGCTAAGAGCTCCAGTACCCTCACTGCCCCCCTAAAATTTGCTCATCCCCATTCACTCCGAGTTTCAGCAGCACATGACTTTCATATTAAGCACGGCCTACTGTATAAGGATGGCCACACAAAAGGTTTTCAGCAGCAAGGAGCAAAATTATGCAAAGCCACATGAGTGGTATACAGGGGCCAGAGGAAGAAGGGGCAGCTGGGAGGAGCTTGGTGATGACGTATGTCCATGATTTCTGGGGTTTTGAAGACGAGTTACAATTAGAAGAGAACTGTGAAGCTGTGAACTGTGAACCGAAGCAGATTTTCATGAAGCTGACCAACCTGACATTCAGGAGAATAAATTAAGGCACCAAAGAATTAAAGAACAAAGAATTCAGCTGGCTTCGGAGAGGCTGAAACATGATCATGAACAAACGTGAGAACTAAACACTAAACCGCTCTCACACTTTTTGATAACTTGGGAAAGTGCCATGCAACGTGTCTAAAATAATGACCCGCACCTAGAAAGAAATCCAGAAATTAAATCCAGTGAAGATGAAGCATCCTATCTGCTTCTGCCTTAGAAATTCAGGACTTCAACGTTGATGTTTGGCCTACTGATGCATCACATGAAGACTTGGAAGATTAACTGGACAACTGATTGTATATTTTACTTTATTTATATATGCATTTCTCATCATGCCCGTATGCCTCTTATTTGGTAAACAATGTGTTCCATGTTCAATGCATTGCGTATCTTGTTATGTCCTTTACCTTCCTGCAAAGCAAACTTCCCATCTGGGACAATAAAAGGAAAGGGAGATCCGATGGGAGCTTCACAAGCATCGCCACCATCACCCACGAACGAGTGACTCCCATCAGAAACAAACACCAGCACACTTCTGCTTCTGATGTCAACCAGTATGTGTCAGTGCTCAGTGCTCACCAGCCATTTTCCTTATTAAAAGTCTAATGTTAGATTATAGAATTAAGGTTGTCATATATTATATTTCTGGTTTATTGTATTGTTTATGCCTGTATATTGCACATATCGATGTCCAACCACATTTTGAACTGGAAGGCTTAACAAGAAAAATAGTGAGTTTTGTTTTTCATTTGAGGAATGTTCCCCTGGTTTTCACGTTTGAAACATGAAAAAATGTTTCAGTTCTCGTGGAATATTTGACATTCTGAAATGAAGGGATGGGTGCAGTTTTAGGTTCATGATTGTTTTCAGTAACCCAGTTCAGGGCACCATGAGGACAGCACAGCCAAGTTAAAAAGGGGAGCAGCCATGTGTATTTTTCAGGGTTAAGTGAATGTACGCTCATGCAGGTGCCCTGAACACGTTGCGAAGTGCACTCTGTTTCACCGCATCACCCTGAAGAGCCAGATTTCAATGACTGTTTTTCATTCTACAGGGCTGTCAGGGGTCAGTGGGACGGAAGCAAACTGTTCAGAGGGAAGAAAAAAAAGTGAGAATAATAAATCGAGGGACTTCTATTCAACCAAAGCAACCCAGCAGCCATGCAAACGGATGCAATATCCCACTCTGCCAGCAGGACATGCTTTCTGGACGGCGCAGGCACAGGGAAAGGAAAGAACGGAGCTCCCCCATGAGGTAAGAGGTGGGTGTGGGAGGCATGCCTTGAAAAAACAAAAATCTAAAAAAAAAACGAGATATCTCAATACATCCTCCTGACAGATAAATAATAAAATAAAACCCATGCCCGTTGCATTATTTATGGAACAAAGAAAATCCCTTTCCCCTTAGTGCAGCATTTTTCAAGTGGACGCCATGTAGTAAACATAATCCCTGCTTCCCCCACCACCGCCTTGTTCTTCAGTAACGCATGAGTTCTCCTGTATGACAACAGCCGAACAGTTTTGAGCCTATGATTGAACCGGGAGGTTCCCTAGCTAGTCTACAGCTATTGAACTAAGGGCCGGCCCCCCAGCGCTGGCGAACCCGGGTCCGCAGGCTGGAGGCAGGTGCAGGGGGCTACAGTAAGCAGCAGGCCCTGAACAGCAGCATGCCGCCGGGCGAGCCCAGGTGGAGGGCCACGCTCTCGTTGGCCGAGACGAAGAGCACGGAGCCCCTCCGGAGGGCCACGTCGGAGAGGGCGGCGGCCGAGGACGCCGTGGCCTCGCCCTGCACGACCAGGAGGATCCCGGCCGAGTCGACGGGGGCCAGGGTGTACTGTTTGGCCGCCCCGGGGATCTGCAACACAGCGGGGAGAGGTCACAGTCTGCCGGCCCCGGCACGGCGCCCGTCCCCGCCAGACACACGCCGCCATCGCTGCCTTTCCCCGAGAAGACTCATCCCCATCCTGCTATACATTTCATTTTATCGCGCCCCTGTGTAACTAATTAACTAAATAATAGGATTCGGAAGTTCAAAACCTGACATTTTTTCCGGGTACTTAAATATAGGTCATTTAGAGAGGGGACAGGATTGCTCATACCTGGACTGGATTAACAGATTATCTACCTCAAACAGTAACAGATGGTGTGGCTACTTTAATAACTGGTGAAGGACATCTGAACGTTCTTTTGAAATATATCAACAACACTCCTTTACGTCATCTCCAGTTTTTGTGCCTTTCCTCATTCTTCAAGTTCACTTCTACTTTCACTGTACAGTACACAGCGTTCCTGAGATGCACCGAAAGACCGATTATCTCCTGACACTACAGCTCAAAGTAAGAAAATACAAGTTGGGGTGCCGGGTTACCTGTATCCTCATGACTGAGAAGTCAGGCACGGGAGGGTCATAGAGGAAGACGCAGGGATCCGAGGGGTCCTGCACGCAGGAGAAGATTTTGGAGCTGGCCGGGGCAGGAGAGTAGTGCAGCATCTCGCACAGTGTGTTCACATCAATGTACTTGGGGGTCAGTCCAGCACGCACTGTGTTGTCGGAACAGGCCATACACTCGATGCAGTCTACCAGAGAGAGGGTGCACAGAATCGGACAACCGAACATGTGGATTTACAATCTGTTTCCAATCATTTGTGCTTTAAAATATCATTCACCTATGTAAATGATTTTTCGGCACACAACCTGAATCATTTTTTTGGCGTTTTGTATCGAAACATATGTAACCAAATCGTTACAACACAGTATAATGTCACCTTAACCTGACTTTTGTGCTTGGCGAATTGGCTAATTCAGTACGTAATATTGTTATTTAATATGATCACGTTAAATGGGTTCATCTCACAATCTGCCATTCATTCACAATTTTAAAATAAAAACAAATATAGTCAAGAACAAATAAACTGAATTTGTTCTTGACTATATTTCATTCATTTATCATATTACATTATACTATATGTATTATACTATATTAAAAATTCTTCCTATAAAACTTAAATATATATCTAAAAATAATTTGCATTTATTGATTATACCTTAAAGATAAAGGTAGCAGTAAAAATGATATCCGTTGGCTTTCATGTCAATAAGAAAATATTTAAGGGCAACATCTCCAGTAATGCTAATGCAAACCCAAAAAAACGTTTTACATATGAAACATTCCTTACATTGAAATGGGAAGATCAAAACAAATGGGAATAGCAGGAATGCAGTAATGGTAAAAGTGTGGTTTTTCAGAAGGGGCTGTGCTGTAGAATCTCTGACCTCCGTACAGGTAGGCGTGAGGCTCACTGGCCCCCAGAAACATGGCCTCCCCAGGCTCCAGAGTCACCCGGTTCAGGAAGTAGATAGAGAAGCAGCCGATATCTCCAGGAAACTGCGAGTGCAACCTTAGCAACAGGTCCCCGTTACTTCCTGAAGTGTCTTTTCCCGCTGCCGCTGTTGAAAACAGTGTTACACACAGGGACTAAACAGCAAGAACTGGGTTTATCTCCACCGACACCATGCATAGAGGAGCACTGTTATTTAACTTTCTACCTTTCTTTTAAGTAACATTTCTGGACACGTTCAGGGCTATTCTACAAAGTTTACGTTTGCAATGAAACAGCTCTCGGGTGTAAACACTTTCTTTTCTACTCTATTATCCTTTTTTTCAAAAGGAGGGTCTCTGCAGGTGCTAGGTTCAAAGGACACCAAGGCTGGCATTCAATTGAATATCTTCCCCAGGAAGGAGACTGGCTGAATTTAATGATGCGGGCAACAGACAGAAGGGAATTGATATGGAGTAACTCCTCTGCTGCCGTACCGTCCTCTAAAACTCTCTTCACCAGCATGTTGAGCTGGTCAACGAACACCTTCTTCTCACAGTTCATCATCCTGGTGAAGCACTTCTTCAGAGCCTCCGAGACCCTGCCCGGATCTCCCACGCTGCTCTGCAGCTCCTCAGCAGCCTCGTTCCCCACCAGCGCGTGGAACTCCGGCACGGCTGGAACACAAAACCACACAGGGAGCTCAGCTCCGCACTCCAGCTTTCAAGGTCCACGCCATGAATCACACAGAAAAGAGCATTTAACACCTACATTTCAGGAAGCTCACAATCTCCTCCACAGGTCGGAAACCACACAGCCCTTCAAAGGGGGTAAGGGCAATGGCCATTTCAGGCTTGTGGTTATTGTCTGGGTAGTGGTCGGGAAACTGAGCATGAAGTCTGGCCGCCAACTCCTGCGGGGAGATATACCAAGGAATTTAATACACACGCTGACAGGATGGAGATCAATCTATTTTATAAACGACACTCTTCGCTTAATAATACAGAAAGACGGTAAAGCTTTCAACGTGACTACATTGCCTTGGTCAAGTCAGAACAGTAATCAGAAACAAAAGTTTGTTTTTGTGAACACAGCTGGCCTTAGAAATTTCATATTGAATTTCACAAATGCCACAGTATTCCTTCTCAACTGATTATAGTTTCTCTCATCTGCCTGGTCCTTTTCAGAAAGTTGTTTACATAAGGGGGTTCCCATCTCTGGGCCATGGGCTCCAAAGGTTTCCCAGGTCTCCTTAATTAGAGACAGCTCTGTGCCTGTGAGACGGGTTAAACTGATTCCATGAAGGTTTAACTGGACCAATTCATCTCTTCTCCAGAGCCTTAAGCTGCTGAATGTTTTTTTCCATGTTTTAAAGAGACATAGAAAAACCCCAGAGTGCAGAGTTGGCAACCACCCCCTTATACCGTTCCCCACTGTAGGGGTGTACAATTCCAGTCCTGGTGGGCTGGAGGGGTCAGAAGATATTTGGTTTTCTTTCCACTTGAGCATTTAATTACCTAACTGAACTTCTCATTTCCTTAATGATGTTTTTGCTCACCCCGGAAAAGCCCAGGGTCCTGTTTATTGTCTGTTCCCACTGTATCTGTGACAGAAGATTCCTGGCTAGCTCACAGCTCTGCACTGAACACTTTGAAGCCTATCCTTGGAGTTTTAAAGAGATCTATAACACCCCTTGAGGACTGGAGCTGGGTACCCTGTCCTGCTTGGCAGCCCATGGGACATGATGTCTCCTTACCTTGTTCGGGTGAGCCTGGATAGAGAGTGCAAGCCTAACAGACAGGACCTTGAACAGAAAGGGCAGCTGCCCCTGGAACGTGTCCTTGACCTTTGACCCCAAGCTGCCAGGGTTGTCCGCTATCCATTGCCCCAGAGTCCTCTGGGAAATCCTGTTGTCTTTGATTAGAGCATCCCCCTTAGGGTGGGCTCCCATCCACAGCTAAGAAAAGGAGAGAGATGGGTTTAGCCTCAGAAGACAATTGATGAGTTTTGAGGGGGATATACAAAACATTAACTATTCACAGAAACAGTTGGCAACACGATGTTTTTGCTGATTCTAACACGAGCTTCACGGAATAGCAATTCACGAAAGCAGAAAATGACTGTGAGTTAATAAGCCGTTTAAAATATGTAAATAGTTGTTAAAGCAAGAAGTTGTTTTAAGAACACAAGCTTTACACCTTAAAACAATTTAAAAATAAAATCTGCCTACTTTATATCGCTCATCTTAAAGCCTATGAATCTGCCCTTCTCATAATTTCACATTTCTATTCTCCTGTATAGTGGAACTCCCAGCTAAAGAAATGGAAATTAAAGGGAACCTATATTAATATGAAGAAGGCTCCACAGCCGAAATGTTGTGTTTCCTTTCTTCTCTTTTCAGCAGGGAATAAACCTTTACTTGTTCCTTTGCAGCCTACGCATGCTGACGCAGCTCCCTACTTGAACTATGTTAGTATGTCTGTACTGCAAACTGAATGGGGAATGTCACATCCCTCAGACTTAACTAGCTTTCCCTGACACCTGCAGAGGGTGTAGATAAATAACCTGTCAATCACAGAAACCTTTAAAAGCATAGTGCAGATCCCTCAGATTTTTATGATACAAAATTAAAATACCATCAGGACATATTAAGTACACAGCTGGTCAGTAAATAAAACAAACTAAGTCATGTCTGATTTATAATTTTTGAAATGTGTGGAATGAACTGATTATTTCTGAAGCACTTTCAGACCAGGTGTACTTTTTTTTCTTTTTTTTTTTTTAGTTTTTTTTTTTTTTTTTTTAATCAAAGGCAGAGTTTGGGCTGGAGGACTCAGAGAGCACAGAGACCTCACCTCTGCATAGGGCTCGTCGCTGTCAACCACCGCCAGCGGGTCTCCGCTAACGATGAGCTTGGCCACTTCACTGTCCAGCCCCACCTTCCCCCAAGCATAGTTCTGGACAGCACAGGACAGTGGGAACACTGCGGAAAAACAGACGCGGCCATTAGAAAGCCAGGAGCACTGCGGTGCCCTCACTGTCCAGCAGGGGGCTCCTACGCCACTCCAGCAGATTTTACAGGTGACCGCTGATTCATCAGTTTGTAAAGAGCAGGAATTATTTGTCTGTGATAACCTGTTATTTGTTAAATTAAACCATTTAGCAATCACCTGGAACAAACACAGAATACCTAAACCAAAAATATGTATGTAAACTGGCTCTGCTATCTCCTGTAACACTGTTGGACTTTCTTCTTTGATGGTAATGCTTTTCTGACCCTGCTGTATTGTTTTAAGGCACAGGGCAACACAACAATTATCCCCAGGGGAGAATATAGGTTGAATGGAACTGAATAACCTAACAGAAACAGGAAACACTGTGTTCCTATAATAGAAACAATGTTTGCTGTTCACTGAAAACACCATCAACAAGCCTGTACAAATTTCAAGAGCATATACTGATGTTAAAGTTGCTGTGTATAAGGGTGTCAGCTAAATAATAATAATAATAAATGTGTATTTAAATTTGAGTACAATATTTCTCGATATACTTAAACTTCATTTGTATTATTTAACATAATTAACACATTTAATTAACACGTATTTCGTTCCATATTAATATTGCTCTGCAAATGAACAAGATAAACCCACGAAAAGGCCTGTTACTACAACGTTACCGCTGGCTCAGAGCTGTAGGAACCGTCTGACATTATATACCCATATCTTTACAGAGAGAGCGATATCTGCATGTTGAAGCTTACGAATTATAAATACAAGTCCTCTTGTTCTACCTTCGCTTCATCAATGCATTTACTGTATATCTGAAGTATTCGGCTCCACAACCCAAGGGCACTTTACTGACCTTCCCTTACTCAACTTCAGCCCGCATTCCAGCACAGTTTATTTTGATGATCATCCAAAACCGGCCAGAAATACAGGGACGGCTTTTATTCTGGGACAGCTGCGAACGCGTGAACGGCTATGTCAACATATCTCCAAAACCCAGCATTCAAAAACCGTCTACAAAACGACGATCATACAGACGTCGGGTTTTTTTTTATTATTTTGAATGCAAGGGATGCTTAGGATTTCAGCCCGGCTTCTACCTTATCTAAAAAAAAAATTATCCCCGCTCAGCTTTCAGCCACATATGTTTTTGTTTTTTGTTTTAATATGCATGTGATCGGCGGTGATGACCTTGGTCACTTTTAGGAAAAAAAACCCGCGTTTGAAAATCCGTTTTTACACCAGACGTGTCTCACCTCTTACTTCCTCCATGGCCGTAACGTAGCCCCACATAAAACCCTCCTGCTTCTGGGGGGCGGGGCCTGGCCGTAAGGCCATTGGTCCTTTTCTGGCTTCACGCCTCCTGATTGGACATGTTGGTGTCGGGGGGCGGGGCTTGGGCAAGCGCTTCCTGATGTCATCGAGTTGATTTCTGACTCTCCTCAATGAACTACAAGGCAAAAGAGCATTTATTTATAGTCAATTTATTAATCATTCTTGGTAAATTTCACATCCATAAATCCAAATGGTCTAATAATACTCCCCTTTTTAGTTCTTTTGAGGTGGAGCTGAAACACTATTTAAATTCTATTAAAAATGTGAGAAATAATAAAGCACGGAAAACATATGATATATGTAAAAAAATACAAGTTAATTATATAACTTACTTATTACCTCTGGCGGTTAACTGTTTATTTTTCTGTTTGTGTTTGTTTTCTTGTACCTAATTTGATCCTCTGATTGTATTTGTATTTGTAAATTCTTTACAAATTTAATAAACAATTCTTTAAAAAAAATCAATGAACTACAAGGCCACAACAGATACGTTAGAAATCAAGTGAGAGTAGGTTAATGTGTCAGGTACACACATAAGCGAAAAGTTACGATGTTCTTTTCGTTTGTTTTTTTTTGGGGTAAACGCCTTTATTTCGAACCGGAATCTTCGTTCACTTCTTCCTGGGCCTTGAATTAGGAACTTTTTAACGTCGACCTTCTCGATACTGTCGTAGTTAAGGGCCTCCCGTTATAACGCTGTCAGATCGCTAAATTTACTAACATTTTTTTGGGGGGGGGGGTAAAATTATAATTGGGATAATGACAAGTTGCTAATCCCGTAAAAGGTGTCACAAAGCTGGGCTGTGCTGGACGTGGAGCAAGCCAAAATACTACATTGTGATAAACTAATCACAATATTCCCAGCTACCATTATCAATTGTGAAAATCTGGCCACAGATTACGCTAGCAACAACGACTGTGAAAAACCATGTGAAAATCAGTACACAGTATTCTGATAGCATACTCTAAATGTTTCTGTGCCCCGCCTTGGATACACTTAACATTTAAAGTCTGCTTTTTGTCTTCATATTAACGCAATCCAAAAAGCTGGGTAGGTTTAATACTGGAAATAACAAATTATGTCATTTATTTTTTTACTTTGTTAAATTGTTGTTCTTACAATGTATGTATTAGTTTAACCTTTACAGCACAATAAGTGTTATGTGCAGTTGTATCTAAATACTCTCTATACGCTTGTTTTGCCAAGATCATGCCATATAAAAATGTTGAAATCCATTCCAAGTAATGACATAAGCCATTTGAAAACCTGTACACAGAGTTCATAATTTAGTATATTTTTAATTGCAAGAAGTTGTGGTAAATGCATGGTAAACACTGTATCCCTGGATTCAATTCCAGACCTGGAGCGCTATGTGTGACGAGTCTGTAATGTTCTCCCCATGTTTGTGGAAACAGGTGCTCTGGTTTCCTCCTACAGTCCAAAGACATGCTGGTGGGTTATTGGGCTTCTGGTGCTGGTGTGGGAGTATGTGTGTCTGTGATGGACCGCGATGACCCTGCCGTGTGTCCGTTGCTTGCCAGTAGAGGCTGCTGGTGCATAATGGCTGCTACACATCGCCCAGTTCGGCGCTGCTCTTGACTGGTGAATGAAGCAGGTCTTCTCGCAGACATAAAGCACCGTGGGCTGGAAAGCGTTACATTAATGCAATGAATTGTTGTTATAATGTGTTGTGCAGAAGAACAGTCCAAGTCCGGTGCTGCAGGTCCAGTGTGTTATAGGTCTCTTTGAAGCTCCAGTACATGAAGACCTTTGAGAAGTTGACCAGAGTGGTACAGTTTAGCCAACATGAAGTGCTGTCCTTCATAAGGCGTAAACAGCCTTATCAAAACCTGCCGACACATCTCCGGGACTAAGACTGGACATCCTTGTTGTGCAGTGAGAAAGAAAACAGTACAGGGAAGTAAAGGCTGCCTTCACGGCTCACTGACGTTCCAGTTTGACAATTATAGCCTCTACTCAGATAATGTTTCTACAGCAGATTTCCTATGCCACATTCTGCTTTAGTCATATTTACTATGAATCCAATCTGGACAGGGACCACAGCATTTTTTCCATGAACAACGTTCCGGCTAGCGTTCATTTCATGCGGCCATGTTTGCTCATTGCCAGTCTTGTTGTTTTGATTTTTTTTTTCTTTATCGTCGTACCCTAAGGAACTGTGAAAAAGGAAGAGAGTTTTTAGTGTGGTTGGGGTGAAATGAGCTGTACAGGAGGTAGTTCAGGTGGGGAGCTGCGTCAGCATGCGTAGGCTGCAAAGGAACAAGTAA